GGTTGAAGGCCATGGCTAGTAGGTTGAAGGCCATGGCTAGTAGGTTGGAGGCATCGCTATTAGGTTGGAGGCCATCGCTATTAGGCTGGAGGCGTTGCTATTAGGTAATGTCCGACGCTAATGCTATTCGCTGGTCGCCTCCTGAGGCCATGATGGAACGGCGCTACTTCTTCTGGAGCTCGTATGGAGTCCTCCGATCCTGTGCCTCGCTTGGCAGCTTCGGGGTTTCTCTTTTCTTGGAAGTGCAAAGATGCATACAACCATGCAACAAGACATTCAGAAAAAACACCTTACTTGCAACAGAGCTCGTCCAATCTGCCAGCAAGCAAACACTGACAAGATCTAGCAAGCCCAGAACACAAGGTCGAGACCACGTGGTCATACAAGATGAATAACTGTGGTGCTCTTGACCAATGAAGCGGGGGAAAAAACGGCGAGCTCGCAACAGGAGAGGGTCCCTCCGCCGGAAGCCCGCCACACGAAAGCGAGAGGGAAAAAAAAAGGTGACGCAGGCACAACCTCGGGACTCGCACTCGGTACGGAGCCAGAGGAAGTGAAAGCATCAAGGAAGAACCGGAGCCGCTCGAAGGGCGAGCTGGTTGTCCTTATAGGCGCAAGCCAGGGCAAGGCCAGAGACAGTCCCACAAAATACAAAAAACAGGCTCTCACAGGAAGGCAAGCGTTCACGAAGTAACCAAGGCCATGGCTCGGACAAAGCGTTGAAGGAAGCAGAGTCGTCGGGGAGGCGGCGGACGACGGCTCTGGCATTTTCCCGTTGCAAGGTGATGCTCAAACCTTGCATCAATTGCTCAGTCATCTTGCTGGTGGAGTCACCGGTTCGAGCAGCGAGGAAGCTCCCCAATTGCCGGAAGACAGCCATGGCCGTGGGCCCAACCCCCACCGCATCCTTCGGCAACTATAGGCAAGAACTGTAAGCCTTGTGCCCGGCACTGGGCTTCGGTTCGTTGGTGCATGCGTTTACGCTCCTCGTAAACCAGCGCAGCATGACCGCCATTGCCAACAGTAGAAGGGAGCACTCCAGAGCGAAGTCCGCTGGAAACTGCAAAATCGAAGGCAGCCGGGCCATGGAGCCCCCAGCCTGGAACCCACACGTCGGCAGGTCGACGTGCGGAAGCCTGGTTCAACGACACTCCAGCTTCGCATAGGCCCGAATCTTCCGGCCGAGCAGGAAGCAAGCCAGGTTTCTCTAGCTCTGGGCTGAGGCCAGCGGCAGCCAACTTGGCGGCAAAGAAGTTCCGCAACCGGTTATGTCGTTTGCCTCGGTCTCCACCACATGGGCATACTCGAGCGTGGTCCCCAAAGCAATCCGCCACCCCATCGCAAAGAGGGCAAAAGCCGTCGGACGCTGCAATGGGAAGGCGCAATCTCAGTCGGAGGAGAACTCGGAACAAATGGGCGTTGATGTGAAGGCCGAGATTGTCAGCTGGTAGGGCAGTGAGCCACGCTCCGGCCCCGGGTTGTTGGACCAGTTGGAGGTGGCCTTTGGCTGCTTCGCCAGTGGTGGCAGCTATCAAGTGGGCCTGCTGCGCCTTGTCCACGGTGGCCGACAAGTCCCGTTGTTGGTAGGACGGGGCCAACGAGTGGATTTGGTCCTCAGGCAAAACAACTTGGTTGTATAAGGTCAAAGCCTGGTGGACGGGGGGAGGCACAACCCGATAGGTAGGGTCAAGCTCCGTGCACGAGGCAGCAAGATGGGTGATGGACGCAATGTAGGCCGCAGGGGCATGCAAGGCAGTGCTGCGAAGACCCAGCCCGCCAGCTTTGATAGCGAGACTGGCTTGTAGCCAGGTGTTCTGGGTCAAGGGCAGCCCCCCCAATTTGTTCGAGGCAGGCCTGCTCATCAAAGGCTTGAAGCGCTGGGCCATGGCCGTGAGGTGAGACTGGCAATGCCGGAGGAGGAGCATCGCCGTCTGGGCATCTGGGAGATCGGCCAAGGCTTGGAGGCATGGCTTGGCGGCTCAACTCGCGTCGAAAATGTGTGGCGATTGCAATATGCCTCATCTCCAATGGCAGCCCCCAAGAAAGAAAAGTTGCCCGTGGTGTTGACCCCAATCCCGGTGGGTTAAAAGCTGGAGCATTGCGGGAGGAGCGTGATCGCCGAGGAAAACCAGTTCACATTTCGATGGTTCCAGCTGGAGCCCGATGTTGCACGTGACATGTTGCAAAGCCTGGAGGCCTTGTGCGAGTTGGCTTGCATCCCAGCCATGACCACATCGTCCAAGTACGCGAAACACACGTCGCAGTGCCCACGGGCCGCAACCAAAGCCGGCTGAAGCGCCAGGGAAAACAGCAAAGGGCCGAGGGGATCGCCCTGTTGCACTCCGCAGGTTGAAGCGATGGTTTCGCCCGCATACAGAAGACGGGAATGGTGGGAATAGCACCAGTCCGTCCAACACGTCAAACCGGGGAGGTCCTGCCGCACAGCGCGAAGCATAGCCGCCCGGTCGACCAAGTTGAATGCGTTCCGAAAATCCAGTCGAAGGATAACTTTGTCAGGGTGGCCAACGTGGCGGTGTGCCCAATCTCGCATGACATGTACGCCACATTCAAGGCCACCAGGGCAGCCACGCCAATCTGTAAGGGCCAGAGTCCAGATCGAACATCAGTTTTCACTGCTTGGCGCAACAACTTCCCAACCAGCCTCCGAAGACTCTCCCCCACCGCGATCGGTCGGACCCCGCCGGAGGGTTTCGGCAAGGCGTGCAACGAGGCACCTGCCAGCTGCGGAGCGAGGGACGCAGGCGCCTCCCCCCGAGCCAGGAGCTGGCAGACCGCAGTCAAATGCGCAACCACTTCATCCATGTGAGCTGTGTGAAAGCCCCCCGCAGGTGGTCAGGCCGAAGTTGGGAAGGCCCTGGGGCCGACCCACGCCGGAAGGATAGCGCTGCTTTGGCCACCTCGGCAGCTTCGAAGTCTGG